TATATATCTTTCATTCTCTTTCTCTCTCTTTCATATATATATCTTTCATTCTCTTTCTCTCTCTTTCATTCTCTCTTTTACCTCTCCCTCTCAGAACGCACACCACTGTGATCAAGATTTCCTTGTAGAATTTTTAAAAGTAATTTTATTTTTCATTTTGGCAGGTCCAACAACTTTTACTATGCTTTGCTACTGATCATGTTGTTCCTGTGTATGTTACCTCCCCTGTTTGCCATTGTTGGCATGGAGCCCTCCCCGGACTGTGGTCCCTTTAGGTAGGTGCTCTTCTTGTGGGTGATTTGTTTGGGGTGGGTTGTTTGTTGGGTTTTTTGTTGTTGTTGTTGTTGTTGTTGTTGTTTTTTTAAATTTGTGTGTTGTTTGTTTGTTTGTTACATAGTAAAGTGCTCAGTGGGCTTTACGATAATACAGAGAACAAAGTTCAAATCGTGATCCTTTCACTCCATCCCTTTCTCTACGACATGAAGATCAACACCGACATAACAGATACAATGAAAGTAAGCAGAAAGCAAGAACCACTCAGGATACACATCAACAACAACATTCTCAGACAGGTCCAAGAATTGAAGTACCTCGGAAGTATATTCACAAAGGATGGGCCACTGAACAGAGAAATTGAAACACGAGTACAAAAGGCCAATAATGTTAGTTACCAGCTTACTCCACTACTGAAACATCCTTACATCCCCATGACAACAAAAGTCAAAATGATCAACACCATATTCATCCCAACACTCACCTATCAATGCCAAACATGGACCACGAACAAGACTTTAGAGTAAAGAGTTACAGCATGTGAAATGCGATGCCATAGAAAAGCAGTAAACAAGACCAGGCGAGACAAAATTAGAAACTCTGTAATCCGAGAAATGGTAGGCACAAACGATGTCTTGCATCACATCCAACACCAAAGAATCAAATTTTGGTTCGGACATCTCCTACGATTACCAACACACCATCCAGCACAGCGTGCCTACATAAAAATATTCGATGGCAACAAGGCTAGAGGGCGACCGAGAAAGACCTGGATAGATGGAGTCAGGGAAACATTAACCACCCACGGCATCCCCCTGACCCAAGCTCTCCGGCTGGCGACAAAGAGACGTCTCTTTCTTCCCGCGACACCCAAAAAGGTATAAGCGGAGGATAAAAGTAAAGTGTTTGTTTTTGGTGCGTTGTCGATTGGTTTGTTTAGTTTTTTTGTTGTTGGAGGTTTGTGTGTGTGTGGGGGGGTTGTTAAATAACGCCTTCAATTTTGTGTTAGGAAAAAACAAAACTATATCATAAGTTTAACACCCTTTGCAATGCCTTTAGTTTACTTGAGAGGCAGGAGCTCTCAGTTTATCGTCCAACTCCAATAGGACCGAGCCAGATGCAGAAATACAAGGTAAGTGGCTCTCCCAAGGACACAACGTCAGACCAAGCTGAGCCTTGAACTCCCAAACCCACAACTGCACGATTACGAGAGTCCAGTAGCCAGACCACTAGACATTCTTTTTCGTGTTTTACGGCCAAGTTTTATATTATTCTAAAGACAGGGTTGCATATTTGAACATAATTTGTAAATGCATGATCAGTAATGCTTAGTATAAAATAAAGCTGAAGTCCCGATAAATCCAAAAATGTTACGAGAAAACGAATTGCAGAAGTATGTAAAGTTTAATGATGATAGTCTATCTGGCGGTCGACCTACTTTGCTC